CACACACACACACACACACACACACACACACACACACACACACACACACACACACACACACACACATCTTGAACAAACATCCGGTGTGGGGGAGTTGCTGTGATGCTTGTCTATTTGTTTATCCTAATAAAGTTTTGCTGTTATTTCCCCCGGAGTGGAAACAAAAACAGATAAAGGCTGAAAGCACGAGCTCCTCTGACAGGAAGAGGACACAATGGACGCTGAGGGAATCAGGGCCCATTTGTTATACGCCTCAGAAATGCCTCTAATTTAACAAATGTACTAAAATAAGTATTATTTAGTGGTTTGTTGTTGTACAACAACAGATATAGAAACAAAAAGCTCCAGTTTCAGTACAATTTATTGACAAGAAGTTCAATAAAGGTCTTTTATGGTTACAATTTTATTGTTTTATTTTAAAGAACTTGTTTTATTGAGGACACCAAGTTGTCCTAAGAATAAATATCAAACTAACTTAGAAATATCTGCTAATTAAAGAAGATAGAAAACAGTCATAATTGGCTAAGGTGGCAATTTGGCTAACCTGTCTTTTTGTTAATGGTTTATTAACGTTTTACTTCAATTAACAAATACATTACATTATTACATTACATTACGTTACATTATTCTTGTTTCATCTTTTCATATTCCTACCTTTCTCTCTCCTCCTCCTTCTTCTCTCTCTCTCTGCTCTCAGCACCGCTGACGTCCTAAAAGTCACGACTTGGGTTTTGCCTCCTTTATAAACTTCCCATCATGTCGTCGGAAAAAGATGAGAAACTTTCCCATGCCTCCTTCACGGACCCTCCTCCCCCAGGAACTCGGTCCAGGAAACGGAACGGATAGAGTCAAACTGGGCTCGGACGTTTGAGTTTTTTTCAGTTTTCTTCTATTTTTTTTAATATCATACAATTATAGCTTTAAAAGTAAAAAAAAAAAAAATTAAAAACTGCACATTTGAACGCTGAAAACGTATTAGTTTTGCTAAAAATTCACGAATATTTGAATTCGTTCTCTTTTTAAAGCAAATCTATCATCATAAAATAATATTTAAACTGGAACACTGTATTTTCCGACGCCCTTTGGAGTACCTGAACGTTTCTTCAGTCCTAAAGCTGCGGTCCGCAACCAAAACTATCAGAAGCTCTATTTCTGCCCCTCACAAGTGTGTTTGAGCTGTGATCATTAAGTGGTGGTCCGCGGACCACTTCCAGTCTGCTGGGAGGCGACTTCTAGTCAGTTAGGGGCAGCAAATATAACGCTTTTTGTGTTGAAAAACTCTTTCACATTTAGTGTTTTCATGAGAATCCATATCATTGCCTTATTTTGTGTTAGTTCTGATACAGTCTTTCTTTTAATAATGTTTTAATCAAACTTTTAAATTTTATTGAACAGATCGAATATGTTGTTTTATTTGTTTCTCTGCTCCGATTACACCTGATTTGGTGACTGAATAAACTTTTCTCAAGTTTTGCAGAATCCAAAACGTAGGAGAATTGCCCTCGAGGACTAAGGTGGCCCACCCGTGTCACAAGGCCAGCAAAATTGGAAAAATACATAAATAAATTGGGGAGCCGGCTCTTGCTTGGTGGGAGTCAACACTTCTGATTCACTACAACTTGTTTTTGAGCATGACAACATCACTGCCCAGTACCAAAGGTAAAGACCGCCACAGCAGTGTAGATGGGGGTCAGCTGCAAACACAAAAAGTCTGTGAAAGTTCGGAAAGAAAGTGAGAGTGCATGCAGGTGTGCTTTTCTGTGATTTTAAAAACATTTGTGAAATCATGGCTGCCCTTAAAGACGAGAAGTTATAAGTATGGGTGCTGGTGGTGTGTCTGAGGTGGTCTTTGTTTGTGCCTGGTGACTGCACTGGCCCCCCTTTTTTTAAATAGTGAGCACTAATTGCAGGACAAAGGAAAAAAGGAACTTTTGATTTGAACATCAGTTTTAGGCATTAGGTTAGGAGAGTGTGTCTCTTTTTTTTTTGTTGTCGTTTTCATTGTTGAAGTAAGAAATGATTGATCAGATTTGTGTACTTTAACTTTAGGCCACTTGGTGGCGCCAAATACTTGTTTTCAAGCAGCTCCTCAACAAACTGCAATATTTATGCACGAGTTGAACTTCTCAGTTTCTTGGTTTGTTATTGCAATTTTTAAAAATAATTAATTACTTCAACTTGTGATTATTAATAACAAAATCACACAATTGTGTCAGACCACAGTTATATGTCACATATTAGCTGTGGCGTCTCTTCACTACAGCTTTTATTTGTTTGTCCAGATTGAAATTTTTTTCCCATAAGATTTAGTTCTTCCACTTGAGCATCAGACTGATACGCTAAGATTCTTAAAGAGGTCCCGGCTCAGCGGTGGCCCTTCCTTGTGTGAAAATAGTGCCTCCCTGAATAAAGTCCTTCACAGTTTGAGCTCAATTTGTGGGTTTCTCATCAGATGGTTCCTGAAGGCACCATCTCACGTGTCTGTCTGCTTAATGAGAAGCTGCTAGCTGCATCAGTTAAACCTCCCTGCTGCCACTGAAACGTATCTAACACTGCAATACTTACATTCAGTGCAATGCTTCAACCTGTTCGCTTTCATAAATAAAGGTGTGTGTTTATTTAAATCCTAACAAATGCAGGACTTGTGATCCTTAACGTTTGCCTGTGTGTCTGACCTGTTAGCAAAATATCTCATGAATCATAGAACAGATTTCAAACAAACTCTCAGAAAGTAATCATTTGTTGTGCACCTAAAAACAATAAAATTTAGAGTCAATCGAACTGAAAATGGCCACTGCAGCTAATCGGCCTTAGCCAAAACAAAACAGGCAATAACTCAGTTAATTTCACAGCTAATGAGCTAAAAGTTCATGCTGAGAGGCCTTTATAAAACATACTTTACTGTTAAACCTTGCATGAAAATGTGCTTAAGGTTAAATACAAGGTTTGACCAAAAAGAGAATGTTTATGGCCTGAAGCTCTTTCTAGTAAAAATGAAACAGAAATGAACCAAAACGGTCAAACAGCATATTTATTTCCTAATCACCAGGGTGAAAATTGGATTTTTTTGACACAAATGTTTTAGAATAATATCTTTATTAAATTCTTTTTTCTCAGTATTTGTCTCCATCTGTGTGCAAAAACAAAAGCCTTTTCAAGATGCATTTACACTATTAGGCCTCAGACTAAAACCTCTGTTTATATCTGAACCATAAAGAATGCATCCATTTAGATTCTCTATTGTTGTTTTGTTGTAAGAAATAACCCTGTGTTGTTTACAAATGGACTAAAATGTGCGTCAGAATTAATGGGGAGAAAAGTGCCTCTTCATGAAAGGAGCGTCTCCTCTATGCAAAAAGAGATAAAACACTGCTGGCAGCCTCGATTTTCTTTCCTAAATCAATTGTGGCATGAGCTCTTCTGCACGCTGCCAACAGCGTTAAATCCCAGCGGCCCCCCCACCCCCTCTGATGTCGACGTGAAATTGAAGCTGTGATTTATTGAAAACGAGTGTCTGATTCACACACAGTCGATAACACGGAGTCAAAACCAGCTTCTCTGGGTCAGAATCTTTACATATCAAGTATCTGCAAAGCTCGATGAGCTGGAGCAACGAGTAGAGTGGTTCAAAATTCCTCTATAACCATGTAAAAGGCTGAAAATGTCAGCCCTTTACAGTCAAAAGAGACATTTCTTCCCCTTCGGTCAAAAATGTGTCTAGATCTGCAAAATGTGCTACAGCTGTGATTATCAACTGGTGGCCCGTGGGCCACTTCGAGTTTGTTGAAGGGGTGGTTTACGGTCAATGTGGGTGACATTATAAAACTCTAAAATATAAAATTAATAGAAATATTTTGCATTAAGGGTGTCCAACTCATTTTCACCAAGTGTCATGGTTGCCCTCAAAATAGTGTAAATAATTTTGACGTTTCTCGTCTCATTGCTACAACTGAGCACAGCTATCAAACACTAACCACTCATTTACACTACATGCGTCTCCGCTCAGCTGCGCTGTGGTCCGCCCTCCGCAGCAAATACGCAACCATTCTGATCAATGGTTGTATTTCCACTGGCCCGGCACGGCGGCGCAGGGTGGTGGTGAGTGGACGGCGATCCGGCAATTTAGGACCAGTCCTATCTTTGCCGGACGCTGGAGCTGCTCCGGAGTCCATCTACAAAGATCACATCGCACCAACAGGAAAAGAAACAAGCACAACATCCGTATTTTCAGAATAAGACACCATAAGGCGGAATAATTTTGTCGAAATCCCAGCTATATTATTAATATATGGATGCGTTTCTACACAAATGCTGTCAGAATGTATGGTTCTGTTTGGGAAGCAGATGGCAACATGTAACATGAAGCATACGTATACACACAATACATGTGGATTTTATTTTGAAATCAGAAGTTTCAAAAAAACAACAGCAATTCAGTTTCAACCACAGATATCAAAAGATTTTATGTCAATATTTTCAGCTGTGTTTGGAGTTTGTCTTTCACAGAATTCTTTCTTTTTACTCTGACTTCCACATTTATTATTGGATTCATTGTGCGATCCTTCCTGCACACACTTCCTCCTCTGTGTGTCGCACCGGCGTGGAGCTGAGCGGAGAGGACGCTGTATAAATTGGTGTGCAAATGAACAGCTGCAACCTGCACACCGCAGTGCAGCGGAGCGGAGTCACATGTAGTGTAAATCCTGGGTAACTGAGCTCTACATGGTATTTTCTGCATTGTGTTTTAACACTTCCTTTTAAAAACACTGAAAAGTGCTACACGTACAACTAACTAAATATAAAATAAATAATACAGAAATAAATTTAAAAGTAAAAGTAAGAGTGTTTCACTCACTGTTGAGTTGTGATTAGTAGGTCCCATCTTGAATTTTGAACTTTCCCATATTTCAACAGGAAGTTCCCACTGGAGGAGCATTCCAGTTTAAATTTATGACTTGTAAGTCGGAAATTCCCACTTCTCAATACAACTGGGCCGCAGCAAAACTACCCAGCAAAACTGCACTGAAATGTAGATTTTACATAATGAATTTCACCGGCTAAGGGGTACTTTTAAACTCTGTGCACCTCCACCTAGTGGTAGTATGCCGTCATTTAGTGGGTAAAATAATTCACACGCATCATAGGAGATGTAGTTTGTGGTCAACGCTAGCTTTTAAAGAGTAACTTACCCCAAAATTAACTTTTTTTAGCTGATAAACTGTCTAGAATGTGTCTAAAATGTTATATAGTACTGTTTCTGTG